TTGGGTTTCCGAGGCAGTTATCACTACGGAAGTAGGATTGCCCAACCTTCCTTCCGAGGAGTGGCTGGTGGGTTTGAACCGCCAGCCTCCTGGTTAGCAGTCAAGTGCCTAGGCACTATGCTGCCAGAGCTCCCCACAAGTGTAACAAACATTAGTAAATGATACCTATATAGGAATATTATGGCAAGGTGATTTAGCCCATCCAGGGGTCAAGGCAGGGCCCCCACCTGGGAAGTTAAATTAAGAGATTTCACTTCCCATGTGGGGGCATAGCAAGGATTGTGAGGATGGCACACGACTGGGCAGTATTTCCTTCTGTTACACCCAGGGTGGCTGTGAGTCTGAGCTGACTCCATGGCACCTAACAACGAGAGACTTAAAGGATGAATAAAAAACTGACCAAATAATCAGGGGTATGCAGCATATACTGGGTCAGACAGAAGGAGTAATACCCACGAAGTCTAGGAATCTTGAGATACGTCTCCTGGGAGGAAAAATTTCTTATGTGGTTGGGGTGAGAAGAGCAATGTGTCCAGGGCTGAAGAAGTAGGCAGGGACTAGCTCAGAGGGTTCCTTGGTGATGCAGACAGTTAACAGGCTGGACCGCTAACTGAAAGGTTGGACATTCAAGTCCGCCCAGAGGCGCCTTGGAAAAAAGGCCTGGGGCTCTACTTTGGAAAAATGGAACACAGTTCTACTCTGACACAGAAGGGTTACCATAAATCAGAGTTGACTCGACAGTAACTGGTAAACTCACTGAGGGTCAGTAAGCTGCCTTAAGAGTTCGTTTTTTGTTCCATGATCTTATTGGCTCATTCTGGGAGGTCTGGTCTCCCTTCTGCTTGATGACCTCGCTGCTTTATTTCCTACCAAAGATTTTCACCTGCTTTCCTTTATCTTAGGTACTCTGGTGGCGCAGTGGTTAAAGCATTCACCTGCTAATCAAAAGGTCCATGGTTGGAAGCCCCCCAGCTGCTCGGCTGGAAAGAAATGAGGCACTCCTTCTATAAAGATTTATAGCCTTGGAAACCCTATGGGGCAGTTCTCTGTCCTATAGGGTCACTATGAGTCAGAATCAACTCGAAGCAGTTGGTTTGATTTGTTTGGTTTTCCTTCTTTCTTAGGTGCACTGCACAAGGAAGTTTCTTCTTAAGGTAACTTCCTGAAGATGGGTAAGAATTCTAGGATTCTTTTGCAATTCATTCACTCACTAATCATTATAACAGGAAGCAGGATAGAGGAGGCAGCAAATATCTAAAGGGAGACAGAAACAAGGAAGTCCAAATCTAAGCTATTTGATCAAAGGCAGAAGTCTGGGCATCCAGGGAGCCAAGAGCATTGTGTAAAATAATTTTGGAAATGAGAGAAAAATCAACTGGTAAATTTCCGAGATTTTTCAGAAAGGTCAAGAGGGAATAGAAGCACCCTTTGAAAGCCTCTTTTAATTGACTTGCAGTTTTAAAAACAGATTTAGGAGATTAAACCTTGATGCTTTGATATAAAACATAAGTAGCACCTACCAGAAAGGCATTCCACCTAAATATGCCATCAAGTCCCCTTCAGGAAATAGCATGCTGATACTTGTCAGTTGATTGGGTAGTTTATCCTCCAAGCACCCTGTGTGGCCAATTAGGAACAGTACTGACAGTACCTTCAGATTTCAACCAGCAAGTCGTTTTCCTTTTTTTTTTTTTCCTCCTCTTATTCCATTATAATGCTTTTTGCCAGCGTAAAAGATACATGTGTCAGAAACACTGATGCAATGAGATGCTAATATCAAGTTGCATCATATGATCCTAGGTGTGGTTCTTCTGAAACTGGTTTTTCTTGAGGTGGTGCTGCAGTAGAAAGGCACCTTGGATCTAACACCTGAGAACTGGCCCTACTGGTCAGATGACAGAATTTTTACAACCACATGCCTCAATTCCACACCACCATTCTCCAAGGGAAAGCCAGTGTGACTTTCCTGGCTGAAATGGGTGTGCTGCAGACATTCATCAGTTAGGTGTGTCATGCTGCTGCTTATGTAACAAATAGAGAGGTGCACCTACCCGGGCGAGCTGGAAATGATGCTTCCTCCTCCAGAATGTGCTATGAATTTGATCTCACTTTAATTGAGCAACTTCTCTGGGGGCAGAATGGTTTGGTGCAAAACCTGAAGAGGGGAAGGGAAAGAAGATGGCTGAGATGACTGGGCATTTACCAGGTGCCTATAAGGAGTCTCTGGGGAAGCTCTGGTGGCATAGTGCCTAAGACATTTGGCTGCTAACCAGAAGGCTGGGGGTTCAAATCCACCAGCCACTCCCCAGAAGGAAGGTTGGGCAATCTACTTCCGTAGTGATACCACCTGGGAAACCCAAGGAGGGGTCACTATGAGTCGGACCCGACTCAACGGCAGTGAGTTTGGTTTGGTTAAGGAGTCCCTGAGAGGCGCAAACGGTTAAGTGCTTCACTACTAACCGAAAGGTTGATGATTTGAACTCCGGAGGTGCAGTGAAGTAAGGCTTTCAAAAGGTCACAGCTTTGCAAAACCTATGGAGCACAGTTCTACTCTGCATGCATTGGGTCACCATAAGTAAGAATCCACTTGACAGCAACTAGTTTGGTTTGGTTTATTAGGTACCTGGCTCCGTGCTGAGTTCCTCACACTCAGAACCATGGAGATGTGGGTTTCAGCTGCCAACCTGCCTTCTCAGGACCCACTGCAGGCTACTTGGCCTCTTCCAGGCTTCAGTAGAGCCCTGGTGGCACAGTGGTTAAAGCACTCAGCTGTGAACCAAAAGGTCAGCTGTTCAAACCCACCAGCTGCTCTGTAGGAGAAAGATGTGGCAGTCCACCTTCATAAAGATCACAGCCTTGGAAAGCCTGTGAGGCAATTCTACTCTGACCTACAGGCTCGCTAAGAGTCATAATCAACTCAATGGTAACAGGTTAGTTTGGGTTTGGGGGTCATTTGTAAAGTCGTATGTCAAATTAGATTAGGCTAACTTTAAGTTCTCTTCCAGAAGTGTAATTCTAGCCACAGATAGTTAGAAGATGACATTTCTGGCTCACTGTATATAAAAAGGAAGCCACTGATCATAGGAATGATGCTATTGGCTGATGGAAAAGGGGTCCTAATGGTCCGTGTAGGTATAAGTGGGTTAGGATAAGATGGTACACCACCGACCTACACTGTCCAGCATGGCAGCCACCAGCATGTGACTACTGAGCACTGGACATGTGGCTAGTCTGAATTGAAATATGCTGTAAGTGTGAAATATACATTGGATTTTGAAGACATGTAAAAATAAAAAAGTAAAAATATCTCATTAATAATTACATTGATTGTCTGTTGAAATGATAGTATTTTGACTTTATTGGCTCAATGTGATATTAAAATTCCTTTCACCTGTTACTCTTTCCAATAATCTTTTTACTCTTTCCAATGTGGCTACTACAAGATTCAAAATCACACATTTAAAATTCAGTACCACAAATTTCAAATTACATACTTAACATGTTGTGGCTCACATTCTGTTTCTATTCTAGTCCAGCTGGAAAACCAGTAATTTGCTTGGAACCTAGCACTTTTTTCTCTGGGCTCTCGTTTCCTCCTTCTGCAGAATGGTGGGATGGAGTTTGGATGACATTTCTTTTGAGGTTACTTCTGGATATAATCCCTGATTCTGAGAAACGTGGTTGGTGGACACTCCTTGTTAGAGTATTTGGAGAGATGCTTTCTGGGAGATGAAGATCTTACAACCGTATTCCTGCCCCTGAGTCATGACATTTTAGAGTCCAAAGGGTCTTTAAACGCTATAGTTTGACCTTCAGATCCCCAGTCTGTGACTGCTCATGGACTGGGCTTGAGCTTTATTCATCTTTGTTTTTCCAGCAAGCACCCAGGCAGCCTGGCATGTAGTAAGCTATCGAGATCTATCTGTTGACCTAACTAGTTTCCAGATGAGGAAATGAAGCCCAGAGAGG